CCATAGTTTGCTGTGGTCCACACAGTCAAAGGCTTTTGCATAGTCAATGAAGCAGAAGTAGATGTTTTTCTGGAACTCTCTGGCTTTCTCCATTATCCAGTGCATATTAGCAATTTGGTCTCTAGTTCCTCTGCCCCTTCAAAATCCAGCTTGTACTTCTGGGAGTTCTCAGTCCACATACTGCTGAAGCCTACCTTGTAGGATTTTGAGCATAACCTTGCTAGCGTGGGAAATGAGTGCAATTGTCCGGTAGTTGGAACATTCTTTGGCACTGCCCTTCTTTGGGATTGGGATGTAGACTGATCTTTTCCAATCCTCTGGCCACCATTTTTGTCCTTTATCATGTTCATCTTTGCACAAAATGTTCCTTTAATATCTCCAATTTTCCTGAACAGATCTCTGGTTTTTCCTTTTCTATTTATTTCTTTGCATTGTTCATTTAAAAAGGCCCTTTTGTCTCTCCTTGCTATTCTTTGGAAGTTTGCATTCAATTTTCTGTAACTTTCCTTATCTCCCTTGCATTTTGTTTCCCTTCTCTTCTCGGCTATTTTAAAGGCCTCGTTGGACAGCCGCTTTGCCTTCTTGCATCTGAATTGAATTTGCTCATTCCCGTCCATTTTAGTTCACTGACGCCCAGGATGTCAATGTTTATTCTTACCATCTCCTGTTTGACCACCTCCAGCTTCCCAAGGTTCATAGATCTTGCATTCCAGGTTCCTATGCAGTATTTTTCTTTGCAGCATCAGACTTTCCTTTCACTTCCAGGCACGTCCACAGCTGAGTGTCCTTTTGGCTTTGGCCCAACCACATCATTAGCTCTGGAGCTACCTGTACTTGTCCTCCGCTCTTCCTTGGTAGAGTGTTGGATGCCTTCCGACCTGAGCGTTCCATCTTCCAGCATCATATCTTTTAGCCTTTTGTTTCTGGTCATGGGGCTTTCTTGGCAAAGGTACTGGAGTGACTTGCCACTGCCTGCTCAAGGTGGATTGCGTTTAGTAGGAACTCTCCACTATGACCTGTCCGTCTTGGGTGGCCCTGCACGGCATAGCCCATAGCTTCACTGAGTTACTCAAGCCCCTTCGCCACGACAAGGTAGCAATCCATGAAGTGGATGTTGGAGTTAGCCTATGTTAAATAATGGCCAGATCTCCTGCTACTTGGAGTTAGCCTATGTTAAATAATGGCCAGATCTCCTGCTACAGCTGTGCAGTGCTTGTCCTTCCCTGCCCCTGCCCAAGAATCCTTTATGATGGTTGCTGTGGGTTTTTCCAGCTCTTAGGCTGTGTTTCGAAGGTTCTTCTTCCTGACGTTTCGCCAGTCTCTGTGGCTGGCATCTTCAGAGGACTGGAGTAGGAACTCTGTCCATGCTCTGACATGGAGTTCTGACTCCTGTCCTCTGAAGATGCTGGCCACAGATACTGGCGAAACGTCAGGAAGAACAACCTTCAGAACACGGCCAAAGAGCCCGAAAAACCCACAGCAACCATCAGATCCTGGCCGTGAAAGCCTTCGAGAATCCTTTATGAGTTTGGTAGAGTTCATGCATTTCAGATTTTGTAAGCTGCTGGCTTTCTCTTCACCCCCCCAATACCTTGAAGGTCCATTGCTTTGGGCAGCTGCTCTGCTCATGCAGATCACAGCTGTTGCACCTTCATTGTGTAGGTGGTTGGTAGGATGAGCTACTTTGTAGTTAGCTGGGTGATCCTCTGGATAAAGAAGCACAGTTTACCACCAGGGCCATTGAAAGCCTTACTAGCTCAGCAGACTGTAGCAGAGCTTTCAGACATAGCAATCAATAGTTTAGGGTTACTTTCACACTACCGTTAGGCGATAGGAGTGTGAAATACAAAATAGCAATGCTTTGCTTTTTGATATAAAATATATACTTCATTAAAAAACTTTTAATCTGTGCAGACAATCTGGTGTAACTGACCATTATGCCTTGGATGATAACCATGCACTCCATGTAGCTAGGAAAGTGGTGAGAAGCTTGAATTACCAAAAGAAAATTGATGTGAGTATATTTGTTTTCTTTGCAAATAAAGTATAAAATGTTACATGATTTCTGTGCTGCTGTTGGGGAACAGAGATCTCCAACCTTTTGGGGCACAAAAACACATCTGGGTTTTTGAGATGTTACTGTGACAAGGATCACAAAATGGACATGAGCCATAAAATTGCTATCAAGCTATCAGCAGTTACTTAGTTTACTGCTACTATAATTATATTAATGCTAGAAAAGGATAAAGGAACACATTTATTCTATGGCCCGTTCCTAATCCTGTTATGGTTTTTGAATTGATCAACTGAGCTGTATTGAAGTATTTAAATAGCTATCAGAACATAATGAGAACTGTGTTGAAGAGAACATTGCTGTAAAAACCCAGGAGTAATCTGTTAAATTTAATGCCAAATGAGTTCTGATTTGAACCTGAGCTAGTTACAGAGGTGCCCAGGAAGCCAGTATTAAAACATTAAATAATTTTCCAATTCATTTGTTGTTTACTTTAAACCATTGCAGGTGACAGTAGAACCTCCACAAGAACCTTTGTTCCCTCCTGATGAAATCTATGGGATAGTTGGAGATCAACTTAAAAGAAATTTTGATGTCAGAGAGGTAAAAAGTCAGAAAGCACATGTACACACGTGTCTGCATATGTGGATGCATGTAACGCATGCATGGAATGCACTGTTTTGCCATTGCAACAGGCATCCTTTTGCAAGAATGCATGTAATGTGGAATGTACCTGAATTTTTCTGCCTGAAAAAAAATCCTAGGACAGTTATAATGTTTGGGCAAGTAGGTGGGTGTCCCTCATCAACACTTTCTTCATTTATGGTTCTGTACTTGTATCTAGAATTTTCAAAACAGGCAATAAACGCTGCTCCAGTTTATGTTTCATTCCACCTTAAATAGGGCATCGCTGCCTTTGCCTCTTTTCAGGTTCACAGTTGTTGGTTGCAAAATCAACAACTTATGCTTGAATTCTTCTACAATTTTTTTTGAAATCAAGTATGTTGATTAAATGTATTGAGTCTTGCAGTGGTGGGATTAGATCATTATTTCAGCTTCAGTCATTCAAGCACCAGGTCAGCAGAGGAAACTTGGCATACTGGCCCACACGTTTTTTTCCACAAGTGGCTTTAAAAGTTGGCCACTGATTGCTAAGCTTGGACTAGGCATTTGCAGTAAGGGTGGACCACATGCAGTCTGTAGGCCACATGCAGCCACCCACAACAATTTTTGCAGCGCCACCACCCAATATCCCTGGCTCTTGCTCCCTGCATAGCCCCTCAAACTTTCGGCTCAAAAAGGCCTTTTCTGTCCTCTGAGAGGTAATTATGCCATGATTTCAGGGGCCCTTAGTCTTCTGGAGCCCCCACATAGCCTCCATATTTTAAATTATATTTTTGGTCACTAGAGGGTGTTTTCAGTTTAAATCTGTTTTTCGGTTAAACCAATTTTTGATTTAATAAAAACCCTTTGTAACAGCCTTCATAGTTCATGACCACTGCTTAATTTTTTTAAAAAATCACATTAGCCCTTTAAATTTGATCTCCTTGGAATAGCTCCTGTCAGCCTTCTGGCAGATCTGAAAAATGGCCCATGGTCTCATTGAGGTTGCCTACCCCTGCATTACTGGTGCAACGAGATGCTGTAGCAACTTCAAACTATTAATATAATCTCTGGCTTGAGAGACTGGTATTTTCAGGAGTAATCACACGTGTACTCACTAATTTAGATTGCTGTACACCCATTAGGACTGTTTTAGCTTTGCTCCGGATAGTGACAAATAAACTAATGGCAGCAGTGTAAAGAAAGAAGCGTATAACATCATGCTCTGATTAGGAAAGAAATTGATGGATGGATACAAAACAGAATCTACAGTATACTATGCCTATTGCTACATTTATGTTGATTTGAGGGGAGAATAAAGATTTACTGGCCAAAATGCAAAGATGCTGTAGTGTGTGTTCCCAAAAACCATTGACATTTTAATTAATTGTGAGCATTTATTAAAATATTCTCTAGAATCATATTGGGGATTTGCAGTCAAGTAAATTGTGGTGGCCGTTGCTAATTAACAAGTTGCAGCTTGCAGTCATGGTGGCATGTGAGGTTGTGCGACTGGCATGTAACCAGGACTGTTAGCGGCAGCTTGTTAAATAGCAGTGATTCACTGTTGTGATTTATACAATTACATTTACATTGGCTTAAATCCTTAGTAGGATGTCGGTCATTATAAAGACAGGCCAGAATTCAAGGAAGTTTTGAAAAGTTGTTCGTATTACGTTCCATCTGGATTTATTTTCATTGTAATATATCTTTTCATGAACTAAATTGCTATGCCTCTGTGTAGTGACTTTTCACTGTCTTATTTCTGAAGGTTATACATTTGCTAGAGTTTAGTTTTTTTTAATTAAAAAAATAGTAGAATTATGGAAAATATGTAAGCCCAATAAATTTAAGATTCTGTGAATCTTAACACTAGAAATTATCCACACTCAACTCATTACGTTTCACAAAAGTACAAAGGTCTGAATGACATCCTGAAATGTTATCTCAATATGCCACGTATAAAACATATCCCACTATGAATCCTGAAATAATAACTAATCTCATACAAGACTACAGTGTACCTTTCCTTTAAATACCATAAGGATAGGATAGTCTGCATTGTGAATCAACATCTATGTTCTAGCCTGCTGGAACAGAATCCAAATGAATATTTATATCTACATAAGCTCAATGGCACAATTTGTAGCGGTGAATAGCCACTAGTTAATGAGGCCCCAATCGAATTCCTAGTTCCATATTGAGTCACACAACTGTCGCATAGTAGGGAACTTGTTAATAGCTATTCATCACATAATTTGATGTTGCTGCACTTACACAGGCATAAATATTCACTTGGATACTGGCCATTGTTTTTATTGCATTTCCATATCTTAAATGGGATGGTGTTGTTGTGAAATAGTTGACATGCTGGCCCTGACCAAAATGTTTGAGTACGGTGAAATGTAGTAGCTTCTTTCCCACTATCATAGTCTGCTCTATTTCACACCAGTCTGCCAGTTCATGTTATTTGCTAGATTGGACCTGAAATATGTAACCTTTAATATAGAAAGAGAAATGTTCTTTAAAATACTTCTAAGAGTAATGGGGAATGGTGTCTTCATAATGATCTATGTTTTTCTCCTTAAGGTCATTGCTAGAATTGTTGATGGAAGTAAACTTGATGAATTCAAAGCCTTATATGGTGATACATTGATAACAGGTATTATTTTTGAATGATTAGAAAACTTGTTTGAAGCTTGGTATTTTGAGCCACCTTATTTGTTGTATGGCTTAAAAATACTTTGTATTGCCTTCTGGAAAATAAACATTCCATATGTTTTCTAAAGGTTATTGGAGTCTAAAAATTACATGTTCATCCATTTACCTTTGTAGGCTATTGAAATCTTTTAGGCTGTAAGTCTTTCAATGTGAAATGTACAATGTTCTCCTAATTTTCCCATTTTTCTCAGGATTTGCTCGAATATTTGGTTACCCAGTAGGAATAATTGGAAACAATGGTGTTCTTTTTTCAGAATCAGCGAAGAAGGTAAGTTATTTGAGCTATTCCTTCCATGTTTTTATTGTTGTTAACAATTTAAAAATATTGTGAATAAACTCCTAGAATCTAAAGGGGATAATAGTGACCTTTTTTGGTAATTACTCATACTTAAAGCTGGCTTAACTAAAATGTTCTACAAAAAGATAACAGCATTTTTGCAAGGACATAAGAAAAGATGTGTTGGATCATACAGAAATGTGCAATTTAGCGTTCTATTCACAGAATCCATGAGAAAGGGAAGTGCAACAGTATTGTCTTGCTTATGTCCCCAGCAATGATATACAAGAGACATACTGCATCTGATACTGAAGGCAATATATGTAACATGACTGGGAGCTCTATCCTCCATGAACTTGTGCTGTACACTTAGCAAACCACCCTAGTTGGCAGACATTGCAACTTCTCGTAGTAGGAAATTTCACACTTTAACTGTACATTGGGTGAGGTGCTTCCTCTTTTCTCCCGAATGACCTTGGGGTCACTCTAGTAATATGACCTTCTCACCTTCTGTACCCAGCAGCAACTACTCCCAAATCTTTGCACTAACTTCAGGGTTGCCGTTTAACCCGTGAGTGAGGATTGTCCTCACCCCCAAAATAGGCATATAGCCAGTGCTACCTTCTGACTGCCCTTTAAATACTGGCACAATTAAGGGCTAACTCTGCCTTTTTTAAGAGTAAGAATACTTCTGATGGAACATGCAGTGTTTGTTACTCTCATGACACTACATGAACTATGTATCCCAGTGCTGACCAGGGATATCCATGAGTATAACTTCTTGTGACTGCTGTCTTCAAAAGTAAGAGATAGATTTTCTAAACTGGAAAGAAGTTATCACACAGCCAAAAGTCCTTTTTTGCACTTCTTTCATTCTTCATAAAGACCTTCAATTCCATATTTGTATAGAGAGATATACGTACTTGTTATTACACAGTCTAGCAAGAACATACTATTTTTCCATAGCTTCTTCACAAAAACAGACCCTTGCAGCTCTGACTAACTGCATAACTCTCTTATTTTTTTCTCTTAAACATCAGATGAGTATCTCTGGCTTTCCCTGATTACTCAAATCTGCCTTGTCTTAATCTTAGCTCTCTCTCTCTCTCTCTCTCTCACTCACTCACTCTCTCACACACACTCACACTCACACTCACACTCACACACACACACACATACCGTCTTACATATCTAACAGCATCTCAGCAGCCAGGAACTATACTAACCAACCAGTTCACAGTTCCATTTGTAAACATTCTGTCACAGCTCTCCTGTTTTAACTCTCTTTTTTCGACAGACATTCTACTACAACTGTCAATCAAACCCCAGTCACTTACGTTGCATACTGGTATAACTCTGTATACAAATACATTTACAACATAGAATGGCCACAAGAGGTGTTTCTCCTCATTTTCTTTCTGCAGACCACACATGAATTGAATGCACTTCTATCATGTCTTTCCTCATTTGCCTTTTTTTCTAATGATCCCCCTCCTTGATCATTCTGATTACCATTTTCTGTACCTTTCCCAGCCCCTCAAAATCCCTTTTCCAAGTCCAGTGACCAAAAGCGTTCACAGTACTCCCAAGTATGCTCACACTACAATTTTGTAAGAGGGAAATATGATATTGGCAGGATCATTTTCATTTCATTTTCTAATTATGCCAGACCTGAGATTTGCCTTTTTTAATATAGCAGCTCCTCACTTGGTCTACATTTTCATTAAATGATCCACCACAGCTGCAATATCATTTTCTTACTCAGTTGTTGCAAACTTACCATAGATCCTATCAGTATATTTGCAAATAAGAGATTTTTTTAAAAAAAGCATATTACCCCAGTGTGCATCACTTTATATTTGCTTACACTGAATATTTCTTGCCATTTTAATTCCTGTTCTTTAAGTTTGGAGAGACCCTTTTGGGCTTAACCCCGTTAAATAATACAGCATCATTACTAACCCTGGGAATCTTGCTACCTTTTCCTAATACCAGTTATTTATGAGCAAGTTAAAAGTATCAGTTCCAACAAAGATGAACTTACATAATACACAACTACAGCACGTGGACAAAGAACCTTTGGAAAATCTTTTGTTTCCCAGTGTATGTTTATTTCTCCTGTCAATGTTGAAAGCTAAAAAAAAGATGGGGGAAGAGATCAAGGCAGTATTGTTTTTACGAATCTGATGTAGCTGAGAGACTGAGTTTTGTCTGTTCACTTTCCTGCCCTACCCTCATCCTGCCATCTGCAGAAAGTGGGATAATTGTGCTGACTTAACATTAGAACAGAAATGAGAAAATGTGGTCATCCAGATGCTTCCAGATACATTTTATACCATGTACCCTGCTGCCTAGGGTGGTGGGAATTTCACTCTTAACAACATCTGGAGGACCACACGTTGCCCACTCTTTCTAAAGAATTTAAAATAGATGTATCTGATGTGCTTTAAAATTTTGAAAATGCTGCCCATATAGATGTTAAGGATTTGTTGATTGATGTCTTTGTTAAAGCTTTTCTCAAGAAATGTCATACTGCAATAATTTTGTAGTGTGGCCTGCTTTTTGTCACTTCTGATAACAGTGAGTTCACTGTACCATTTCTACCCTTCACTACAATGTCAAACTGTTACCTCAGCTACTACAACCTGTTACTTTTCACAGATGTATGTGTTAAAAACTTTGCTGGAAATTTGCTCTGGTAGTTCTTGAGAAATGAGTAACTGGTTCACGGATAAGCTTGTTAAGGAAGGAAGTAACATCAATTAGGATAAGATTTTAAAGCTTCATTGTTTTGTGGAGAAACCATTTAGAGTATTACTACAATTAGGATAAGTAACAAACAGTATTCTACTTCATTGTTGAGTTTTATTTTTTTCCCAAGAGTGCAATGTTTCACCTAATTTTGAAATTTAAAAATATGTAATATTAAATGTAAAATATTTGGCGACATATTATGTTTCGTTATAGCTGCATGATAAATATCACCTTAGTAGTGCCACATTGATTTCAGCAGTAGATGGGATCATAAATCCTGTTTAATAATTATTTGGTGGTTTTTCTAATTAGTTATACATCAGGTCAACTGTCTATCTGTTAATGTCTTTACAGGGCACCCATTTTATTCAGCTTTGTTGTCAGAGAAATATCCCCATTGTGTTTTTGCAAAATATCACAGGTGAGTAACCTGTTACTGTGACTTCTGTTGCTGAATTCTGAGGATATTAAATTATTTGGAATTATATTTACATTAGGTAGCTGCTTGTCAAATAAAAGTAATAGATCCATTCCCATCCATTATTTATAATGACTTTATTTGTTTTGTGCGAGCGCTCTAAAGCTGACGTTAAAGACATGATGATGGTTATGGTTGTTGTTTTGTTAATTTATGAAGTGACTTAAAATCTAGGCACTGTACAATGACTGAATTCAAAAGAAGAAACACTGCCCGCAGACCAGCAGAGCACAAACACCACCATCGTAAAGACTGAGTAGTGTAATACCCTTCATTGACTCCAATTAGTGTCACAAAGCAGTCAGTAAATTACTTTGTCACATTGCAGTTGGGCCTAGTAAAGATACTGCCCTCTTGCTATTTCTGCATAGTTTTCAAATGAACTGACAAGGCTACTTGCAATTGTTCCTAACAGTGATCTCGATCCTCTTGCAATTCATTAGGATTCATGGTTGGTAAAGATTATGAGGCTGGTGGAATAGCAAAGGATGGAGCCAAGATGGTGACTGCGGTAGCATGTGCCAATGTGCCCAAAATTACAGTTATTATTGGAGGTTCCTACGGCGCTGGAAATTATGGGATGTGTGGAAGAGCATATAGGTAAATACATATCCAGAAGTACATGGTTACGGTTATTGTGAGGAGACGATGGTGATGATGATGTGGTGCCATCAGCTGACTTACGGTGACCCTTTTCAGGTAAAGAATATTCAAAAGTGGTTTGCTATTCCCTTCTTCTGGGGGCTCCTGGGATTGTGCAGCTTGACTAAGACCACACAGGCTGGCTCTACTCATAGGAGGCACAGCGGGGAATTGAACTCCCAGCCTTTGGCTCTGCAGCCAGATACCTAATTCAGATTCTGTTCATAGAGACTACACTATGCATTTTTAAAATTTGCTTAAGATCACCGATGCTGGTAGATCAGTCACCCTCAGCAAGCTGTCAAGGCTATGTTCTTGGATCTCTGTGTCATATGTCATACTGAATGAGATTGAGGTGATGAGATGAGGTGGTTCTGGTTCCATGAAGCACATGACATCTTATATGTGTATCATGGGACCCAAACTAAAGTGCCCTTTCTTTCTAGCTTGAGATACAGACAAGAACACTGATGCTCTTAAAGTGTCAGTAATTTGGTTAAGAGCAGCTGTAGCTCAGGAAAAGGTTTCTGCTCTTTCTCCTGTAACAATGAGAGCAGGAAAGTCGGGAACTTTCCACCCCTCTAGCTAGAGAAATAATTTGAGAATAGCACTTTTCTGTAACTTTTTCAAATTAATTTTGATGTTTACATTTTTCAGTCCAAGATTTCTTTATATGTGGCCAAATGCTCGGATCTCAGTGATGGGAGGAGAACAAGCTGCCACAGTTTTAGCTACAGTAGCCAAGGACCGGAAAGCAAGGGAAGGGAAGCAGGTAAATATCCTCTACCCCCTTAGAAGGTAATTGGTCACATTTCTACAATGGCTAACTTTGCTGCCCTGTAATTTCTTGAAATGATAAAAGTCATATTAACACTCCAAGCCTAGCTGTACTCATTCATTTTAATCACAGCTGAAGGTGCTGCAATTCTAAGTAGTTGATTCTGAACTGAGATGTAAGTATTACAGATTGTAGGTATAATTATATACAGTGGACCCTCTACTTACAGAATTAATTCGTATTGGAACGGTGGCTGCAAGTCGAAAAGTCTGTAGGTCGAATCTCCATTGACCTACAGTGCATTGAAAACCAATTAATCCCATAACTGGCAGTTTTTATTCTATTTTTGTTCCATTTTGGTTTTTTTCTTGTACTCATTCATTTTAATCACAGCTGAAGATGCTGCGATTCTAAGTACAGTAGTTGATTCTGAACTGAGATGTAAATATTACAGATTGTAGGTGTAATTATTTAACAAGTCAGGCCAATGTGGATCCAGTCCAGTTTGGAACAGCACTTAGGCTTATATGTAAGTGATTTGTAAAAATTAGAATCATTGTTAGTTAGTAGAGTTGGGGGACATTAGTAACAAGTCAGGCCAATGTGGATCCAGTCCAGTTTGGAACAGCACTTAGGCTTATATGTAAGTGATTTGTAAAAATTAGAATCATTGTTAGTTAGTAGAGTTGGGGGACATTAGCCAGGATCCAGCTGAAAATTATAGCAGCATAGGTCCACCAGCTGAATTTCAGCTGGGAATTGCCACAAGAAGCCAGAGTAAATGCTTGCTGTTGTGTGCCATCTCACAGCTACTGTGCAAGACCAAATGTCTATGCTGATATCTTAACCAATGGCAGTCTGCAGCTGAGATTTATGCCTCTAGGTTGACATTGATGGGGCATTAAAATGAAGTGAATCTAAACAAAAAAAGGCATTTCTTGTTCTCATCTTTTCATTTTTCCACTTCAATATAACAGTGGCAGTACATCCTTCATATACTATATATTGTGATGTTTCTACATTTGAATGTTAACACAGACAGATTAAGAAGGTATTATATAACAACTCTATTTTTGTTGGAGAAATATCATTTGGTTCAATTACAGTCCAAAGTGCACTCATTGAGTTGTACATTCAGTTGAACTCAATGGAACATACTGTCAAATAAACATGTATAGGGTCATATAGCAGTCATTTTAAACCTTCTTTCACCAATTTTGAAAAACATGTACCTTTCTCTATTATTTTTGTTGTTATTAAGTGCTATCAAGCCACATTTTCCTGACAGAGTTTCCAAGGTATGTGAGATATTCAAGGAGTGTTTTGCAACAGCCATTCTCCCGTCAGATTCATGGCTGAGTAGGGATTTGAACCCAGATGTCCTGAGTTCTGATCTAAACACTATACCATAGGGGCACTGGCTCACAATATAATTTAGCAACAACCAATGAAAAATATTTCCCATGAAATATATAGTAAATATGTTATGCAGAAGCAAAATTAAAGAGAAAAATAATGAGCACCAAATACAAGCTTATCAAGACTGCCATGTTGAAACAAAAGTGCCACTGAACAAGTTAAAAGTGACTATGGTCTGCTTGGCCTACAAGTGCAGAGAGACCAAAACCATAGGATGCCTGCTTTGCACTGCATTCCAAGAGATCCTTGGTTCACTTCCTAGCTTCTCCAGCTTTAAAGGGTTAAACAGGAAGTGACTGGAAAGACCTTTGCCAGAAATCGTGGAGGGCATTGCCAATGAGAATAAACACTCCTGGGGTTTAAAGGACAAATAGTCTGCCCTAGCTGTCAGGAGTCTCCTGTGTTTTTAGGAATAAGTAAGACTTTGCTGTTCCTCACATATTCCATTATCTCAGTAACCTGACAAGAATGGATGCAGACACATATGTATATCGAAGGAGAAGAATGATGAAAAGAGAAATAAAAAGTTCATTTTAAGGGGACTTGCTTAAACCCTGTATAGCTGCTGCAAATCAGCCTCCCGTCTTTCATAGCCCACCTGGAGATCACAGCACTGAATCTGGAGCCTTTTACATGTCAAGCACATGCTCTACTATCGGAGCTACAGCCCCGTTCCCTATTGTAGGCTAACCTCTGATGCATGTTTTTTGCTGCACATCCACACAGTCAAAGAACCATGATCACAAAGGAAAAAAAATGCAAGAATTCTCGGGGCAGTGCTATCTAAAGACTTTTAGTAGTGAAACGCCACCATGTAGCTGGAGTTGTCAGAAACACTGTGAACAAGGAAGATACAAGCTATAGTTACAAACTCTAGTAGTAAAAATAGCATTGAGGAAATATATACTAACTTCTTTCACTTTGAAGTTCCTTTTAAAAAGAACTCTAAAATCAGAAATGTCTACTGTAACATTACTAGTTCTTATTTTAGCAAAGAAAAACATGGGCAAGATATAGTTAAAGAGCCACAACTATCTCTGCTTCAAATGTGGGGGTCTACTGTGTTTGCAATCTAAAATTGCTACCATTTTCTTTATGCTCAATAGCTATCTGAAGAAGAGGAGAAAGCTCTGAAGGAGCCAATCATCCGGAGATTTGAAGAGGAAGGTAATCCTTACTTTTCCAGTGCAAGGTAATATATAGAGGTGACGTTGGTTTGCATTTTAAGCTCTGATTAAAAGAAAACCTAGCTTGGGTAATGATGAAACCTGAGATGTATGACTATGAAAAGAGAACTATTTCGGGAGCCACTGCCCAGCCTGTTAGTGGAATTTAAGTATGGATGGATTTGCCCCCCCACCCAATGAAATGTTTTTTGTGTACTTAGATTTGTATATCCACAAAACTGCTTTCAGGTAAATAATTGACACTCTCATTTTAGAGATGGGAAACTAAGCGTGAAAGATAATGAGTCCATCTAACATAACTCCATATGCCTGAAAAGCAGATGTGAACGCTAAGAGTGGTCGAAATGACTAGATAGGCGGGGTATAAATACAATAAATAAATAAAAATAAAAAATAAATAACTGCTAGGCACCAAACTGAGTTACTGTTTGTTGGACCATACTGGCTGGCTGTGATCTGTTGGCGCATTTCATAATCTAACATAACTCCATATGCCTGAAAAGCGGATGTGAACGCTAACTGCTAGGCGCCAAACTGAGTTACTGTTTGTTGGACCATGCTGGCTGGCTGTCATCTGTTGGCGCGTTTCATGTTTTAAGAGGGTCTCTCAAAACTGAAGAATGCACAGTAATGTAATTTAAAAGCTTTTCCTGAGTCACAGTAGTAAGTCTATGCTTTGTTTCAACAGCTCATTTGAAACTTATTTCTCAATATTCAAGTAACACATGGAAGAAGAGCATAGATTGAGAAGAATGCTAAAGTTTTCCTTTCCACAAATTAAAATGGAACCGAGTACCATGGGCGATTGATTTTTTTACATTTGAATTTTGAGTTGATAAATGTGATCAATAGACTTATTAGAAGGTGTTAACAAGTATGACCTTAAACACAGAGCTTTAAAAAAATACCATTCATCTCCTCATGCCAACAACAAGCATTTACAATGACCTAGAATACTCTTTTCTATTTCCTGAGAGTAGACATAGAGGGCTTATCGAGGTGTAATGTTCAAACAAACATCTTAAATATTGTTAGTTGAAGGAAGCCCACTTCAAAACAGTTTATGGAGCTGACGTTTCAACTAACCATAGTTAATATTGACCACACTTTTTGTCTGAATGGCAGAATCCACTACAGTTAAGCTAGAACACAACTGAAAGCTTCCCATCACCTATTTCTTAGAAGATAGCAGGAATGCGGTGTAATGTTCAAACAAACATCTTAAATATTGTTAGTTGAAGGAAGCCCACTTCAAAACAGTTTATGGAGCTGACGTTTCAACTAACCATAGTTAATATTGACCACACTTTTTGTCTGAATGGCAGAATCCACTACAGTTAAGCTAGAACACAACTGAAAGCTTCCCATCACCTATTTCTTAGAAGATAGCAGGAATGCATGAACCCAGACTCAATGCTAGACTGCTTTAGTGTTATATATGACTGTAGGCAGTATATGACTGAAAGCTTCCCATCACCTATTTCTTAGGAGAAGATAGCAGGAATGAATGAACCCAGACTCAATGCTAGACTGCTTTAGTGTTATATATGACTGTAGGCAGTATATGTAAATAAAGTTCTGGGTAGTAGTCAGTTTTCATCCTGTTAATGATGGCCCTGTATTGATTGTTTATGGTTATGTATTAACTACTTCCATTTCCACCATCCTGTGATTTAGATATTGTTAATTAGATAATGGGGTTTGTTGGTGTTGTATTTTTCATATGATTTTTGTTTTAATTTGTTTTTTGTTTTTGTTTGTTTGATCTTGTATAGCTGCTATAGAGTAGTAGTGGCTTGCTACTAGTTAGGGAAGGGGATGGATGGATGGATGGATGGGTGATGGATGGATGGATGGATGGATGGATGGATGGATGGATGGATGGATGGATGGATGGATGGATGGATGGAGTCTTGAATGCAGATGAAGATCACAACTGCTATGAATTAGGGTGCTGTTGGAAATATTACAGTATGTTCAATTTATACTACTTGATCTAAATCTTGACAGATCACAAGGTATGTTCTTAAGGTTGAAGATTTAAGTAAATGTGTTTATCATCATTTTTATTTTGTATTTTACTGGAGTCACTGCATTTTTCCACTGAACTAATTATGCTAAAGAAATTATCATCAAATTGTGGATATTTATCCCAAATCCTTAATTAGAGATTAAAAACTACTATTTTCTGCTCATGTTCTTTTTAGATATAATTGCTAGAGGCCCTTTACAGTTGTTTTTATATGTGCTAAAGAACTGGAAAAAAATTGGATTTTTAAGCATGCCATATGATACAATGTGTGATCTTTTGTGATACAAGACACTGCCATCTGTCTTTAAGCTACTAGTATTTGGAGCAGTAGGTTAGCTGCTGCTTTCACAGAAGTGCCTTTAATTTTAATTTTTCAAATATTTAATATAATTTTTTGAAAATCCCTAATAGCTTTCCCATAATTTTTAACATTCCAGAATCTGAGATGATTGTAAATATTTCAGATATACTTGGCCTCTCTGAATCCATGTGGTGGCTGGGATATTCTTGGAAATCTAGTCCAAACCAAACCAAACAAAAGAAAGCAAAACAAAATAAAACTTTCTCCTTCTTTGATTATATTTGACCCTTTTGGAAGTAAATTGTATGACAAAACAAGGTACAGGCTGCAGTTTTTATCTCTTGTACAATTGAGGTGGAAACAGTAGAATTTGTACAAGAATACTAATGGGATTGTGTTCAAATCCCAGTTAGCTAATGTACCTCCTCAGTTTCAGTTCTGCTCCTTGCACTGTGTTGATGATACCTCCGATAGACCCTTGAATACGCCACCATTCCAATACGGATTAATTCCTTAAGTAGAGGGTCCACTGTATTTGACCCTTTTGGTAGTAAATTGTATGACAAAACAAGGTACAGGCTGCAGGCAACATCTCTTGTACAATTGAGGTGGAAACAGTAGAATTTGTACAAGAATACTAATGGGATTGTGTTCAAATCCCAGTTAGCTAATGTACCTCCTCAGTTTCAGTTCTGCTCCTTGCACTGTGTTGATGATACCTCCGATAGACCCTTGAATACCATGAGTAACATGTTAGGTAGTTTGAAAGGTACAGTGGAACCTCTACTTACGAACTTAATCCGTCCCAGAAGATGTTTGTTAGTTGAAACGTTTGTAAGTAGAAGCAAAATTTCCCATTGAAAACCATTTAATCCATTCCGTCTGTTTTTGGTTCTTATCTAGAGGCGCCATTCTTAAATCAAAGCATTACTTGTAGTTCCCATAGCAAAGCCAATTAATCCATACTCTACCACTAGGGGGAGAATGTTTCTTCTTTTGAACTAAGATGAACTTAGGTCAAAAAAAGGGCAGGAAAGGGAGGGGAACACCTTCTAAACAGAACACCTTTAAAAACAAGCAGCTTTTAAAGAAAACCAAGCACCTTTTAGCTTTAAAAAGGGCAGGAAAGGAGGGAGGAGGAGGGAGGGAAGAAACAATGGGGGAGGGACAGAACCCTAGAAGCCACAGAATCCAGCAAGCATTATTCTAGCACAGAACTCCTCATCACAAAAAGAGAATAAACTACATTTTACAGTCTGCCTGCATCAACAGCCAGCACAGACCCTCACAGAATATTTTCTGATTTTAAGGGGGGAAAAAAGACTCTGGAGTCTAACCTGCATTTTACAGCCTGCCTGCATCAACAACCAGCAGCCATTATTACAGCCAACAAATCCCCAAAGGAAAAAAAAGACTTTGGAGTCACATTTTAAACCCACACATTTTAAAACAACAGACAAACTGCCTCTTCTCTGGCCAACAGTCAACAGAAAGTTCAAAATTCGTGCTTTCCCCAGCTCCCCTGCATTTTTTTTTCATTCCTATGTTGAAATTGCGAACGGAGCTGTTCGTAAGTTGGATTGTTCGTAGGTAGGGACGTTCGTAAGTAGAGGTTCCACTGTATGTTGAATGCTCACAAGCACTTTGGATCCTGTACTTTGAAATCTGCAGTCATCTGCATGGAATTGGAAAGATACATTCTTTAATCCAAGGATGGGCAACTGTGACCATCCAACTGTTGCTGGACTGCAAGTCCCATGATCCCTCATCATTGGCCGATGAGACTTGTAGTATAAAAACCAGTTAAATCCTGTATATCTTGTGTACAAAAATGGTTTCTCACTGGTGAAAGTGTAAGACGAATGTGTATTTTATGTCTGCATGTGTTCCGTCTGTATGCAGAACATATTGGGTGAAATCCTGTTACACAGTTATGCAAACAGTGTAATATTAATTGCTTTAAGCAATCTCCATACTCATATCTCCATTAGCCATTGCATATTGAGATGTGTGACTTGGCATGCGACAGATAATGCCCAGATAATTTCTTAACTAACTGCAACTCATATCTCAAAATTATACTTTTAGTGTCCATATGTAGCATAAGCAGATTTTAGCCATTGCATTAAAAAAAGTTTGGTTTCAGAGAAAAAGAAGTGAAAATTGGTAGAAGAAACACCAGTCATTTTAAGATATACATATGGCACTATATTATTAGTAAAAAAATACAGCAATGACTTGGAACAACACTGAAGAAAGTTAAATGTGCATATGCAAAAGCCAGGTTACTGTTGAAAATAGGAAAAGAAAACTCATAACTACTGAAGAATTTTACAGTTATAATGGTGACAATGAAGACATTGAATTTGTTAAAGATTTCCTATACAGTGGTGCCTCACTTAACGACGTTAATTCGTTTCAGCAAAATCGCTGTAGAGCAAAAATGCTGTAAAGTGAAATAAAAAAACCCATTGAAACGGATTGAAAATGGTTTAATGCGTTCCAGTGGGCTGAAAAACTCACCTTCTAGTGAAGATCCTCCATAGGGACGGCCATTTTCGGTGCCTGTAGAGCGAGGAATCTGTCTAAAAACACAGCGGGAAGCCATTTTGAGCACCCGGTGGCCATTTTGAAAACCTGACGATCAGCTATTTTGATCGTCGTAATGTGAA